GGTGTGATGTAAGATGGCAGAAATTCTCCATGCTGCCCTCTATGGAGAAACCTTGGTGCTGCCTTTTTCATGAAAACATAAATCCCAAATGCTACTCTATATATAGAGATCTGAATCCCTAGTGCTGCCCTCTATGTGGAGACCTGAATTCCTAGTGCTGCCCTCTATATGGAGATCTGAATCCCTAGTGCTGCCCTCTATGTGGAGACCTGAATTCCTTGTGCTGCCCTCTATGTGGAGATCTGAATCCCTAGTGCTGCCCTCTATGTGGAGATCTGAATCCCTAGTGCTGCCCTCTATGTTGAGATCTGAATCTGTAGTGCTTCACCCTGCATGACGACCTCAATCCTTGGTATGAGACATGAATCTTCTGTGCTACTGTCTGAACCAGTGAAAAACTAGGGTCCGTTGTAAGTAATGTGTTACCTGGTCAAACAACTGATACTAATACATCTTTAATTCATGGTATAGCTACATCTCATGGCATTATTCATGCATGATTATGCACTAATCAGGTGGCAACAGCTGGTGCAGCGCAGTGCAGCGATACGACGGAGCTAACCTCAACTTATCTCATCAAGCCTCCTTAGCTCAGTGGTTAGAGCACTGGTCTTGTAAACCAGGGGTCATGAGTTCAATCCTCATAGGAGGCTGACGTGAGTCTATTTTGTTACTTCTCTACTGCTTCAGAAACCAAATAATAAAGCTCAGCAGGTATCCTCTATGACGCTAACCACAATGATATTGCCTGAACGCTATAAGCTCTCCTACTTTTAGATTAATACCAACTGTCTTTATCACAGTCAGCAACATTAGATGTTTTGCCAATTCCTAACTGGACTTTTATTTTCCATCCATTATTATGACAATATAATATGCTGTGTGATGTAAGATGGCAGAAATTCTCCATGCTGCCCTCTATGGAGAAACCTTGGTGCTGCCTTTTTCATGGAAACATAAATCCCAAATGCTACTCTATATATAGAGATCTGAATCCCTAGTGCTGCCCTCTATGTGGAGACCTGAATTCCTTGTGCTGCTCTCTA